TCTAAAATCGATTTTGAGAGCCTCTCTCTCTAGGATCTCCCTTCTCTCTAGGGTTTGATCTAGTTAGAGTCTCTCCCTATCCTTTGGCCTTTGTAAAAAGTGTGTTGATCGTTGAGGGCTATATTTTGATCCAAGAATTTCGAGATTTGGAGCATCTTCGTTTCCTTCATCTTCTTCGTTGGGTTTCATCTTTGAGGTAGGGATTCCTACTCATCTTTATGGGCTTTGACCTAGATTGTGAGCTTTTGTATAAATGGTTTTGGATTTTGGAAGTTAGGGTTTCAAATGTGTGATTTTGAAAAGAGGGGTTTTGTTTCCTTTGGACCATAACTGTGTATTTGGATTTCAAAATGAGTATGTTGATGTTTTTGGTAATATTTGGACCCTTGGGGGTCAAGACTGAGAAAATTGGGAGAAAGTCCTAAATTGTGTATAAATTAATTGGTATAATTAATTTGGAAAAGTTATGGATTTGTGAAATTGAGTTGAATATAATGCTAGTGGTTCATTATGAGACGGAATAGTTGAGTCAGATTAATAAATCGTTCACTTTTGAAAATGCAGATAATTTATCTGTTGGTGCTTTTATTATCTATTTAGAAATAATTGTCTTGGGCTACCGGTGGAGGGTAGTTTTGATTGTTGTAGACAATGCATGATGATTAGGCAAACTAGAACTAATCGATTGGATGTGTCATCGAATATGACGGTTGAAAGAATACATTAATTTTATGTATTGATTGAAATTGTATATGATAATTGCTTATATACATTGCTTTGTGTGGGAGGAGATGTGGGATGTACTCCACGGTTTATTGGAAGATGGGGGATGGACCTCTAAACTGGAAGTTGTTTGACATTGATACAACACTACAATGTGTATCATTTGTGAAGTCTAGAAGTGTTTTGCTTGACATTGATACAGCACTAAAATGTGTATCATTTGTATTGATTGATTGAACTTGTATATGATAACTTCTTGTATACATTGCTTTGTGTGGGAGGAGATGGGGGATGTACTCCACGGTTTATTGGAAGATGGGGGATGAACCTCTAAACCGAAAATTGTTTGACATTGATACATCACTACAATGTGTATCAGGTGTGAAGTATAGAAGTGTTTCTATGTTTATTTGATATAGCACTAAAATGTATATCATTTAGAAGGTATGGAAGTGTTTTGTTTGATTTGATATAGCACTAAAATGAATATCATTTGAGAAGCAAGGAAATGTCTTGTCTGACTGTGATACAACACCAAAATGTGTATCTATTATGAAGTATGAAATGTTAAAATGAGTTATTATCTCACCTGAAATAGGAATACAGTAGCCAAGAGATGCGATCTCATTTAAAATGATTGGCCTAGTTCTGAATCGTAGTTATAAATCGAGAATCTGATAGGAAATGGGAACTGGAATAGAACATGGATATATTAGTCATGGGATTTAATAATGTTATAAGTTGTTGTGCACGAGTTAGACATTTATCAATCACTGACATTTTAGTTATCGTTCATACTATGTTTAGCATATCTCTACTAGGCGTTGGCTCACCCTATATGGGACATCATTTTCAGGTTCAGGTGTTGTGCCGTCTCCGAGACCTTAGCTTGGAAGATTGAGGGAGTTGAAGATTCTTATTTGTTAATTTTGTTGTATTACATGTATATCAAGCCAAGGGCTTAATTTGTATTATGAGTTAGTACTCTTCTTCTGTAACCCAAGTGTTGACTTGGAAAGTTGTAAGCCCACAGGGCATTTACTTTTATTGTTAACATGTATTGCATTTTGTAAGAATACCCAGATGATTGTAATATAATATCTCTTTTCTGTACCTTGAATGTATGATATTATGGGTTAATTTTGAGGGCGTTACAGGAATAACCGTTACTTCATATAGTCATTATTAGTAAATTCACCGCATTGAATAGCAAACCTAGCAATATGCTCCATTGTTGATTGGTTTCCATTCCCATAAAAAAGGGCAAAATCTGGTATCCTGAAACCTCTTGGGTATTCATGTACCCTGTCCACCCATTCTTGGTACGGTTTCTTATACACTGGACTCTGGACCCCCCGAGTCATTGGTCCACACATCTCTCTAACAATGTCAACAATTTGGTCCCTGGGGACCATATTTTGTGCTTGCTAAACCACTACTGGAGGAGCAAACACAGGATTTGGTGGGCAAACTTGTGCTTCTAGTCCTCTTGGTCCATAAGGTGGTATATTTGGGACTGGTTGTCCCTGTGGTGAAGGTTGCTGTTGGGGGTGTGGGTAACCCCTTTGAGCCTGTCCTGCGAAAGGACCTGCGAAAGGTGCTGGAACTGGTGTTGTGTCCCTTCCATTTGTAGGAAAACCTTTCAACCCCCCGGGTATAAATTCGAATAAGGGATTAGTGAAACCCCTTGTGCCAGGTATGGCTTCGAACATGGGATTTGAAACCATTCTTATGCCATTTTCTTGTACTGGGCCAGATCCACCAAATTGCATGGCTTCACTGTTAAATACTGAGGCATTTTGACCTGCTATAGGCCTCAGAATAGGTTCGTACCAAGATTGAGGTGATGGTCTTTCATATTTCTGATTGTTAGTTTAACCATTAGAATGCTCATTAACTTGCATAAGCTGTTTTTCTCTAGCCAATCTTTGCTGAGAGACATTCAAAACTTCCTCTATGTGTCTTACGTTTGTTAGTTTGTGGTTATTCATTCGATCCAAAAATGATGTTGCCCACCTTTCCATTGTGTTTATTAATTGTTGTCCCATTGCATCTATTAAGCCACCCTATAGATTTATTGGCTGAGTAGATGAAACAGTGGATGGTCCAATTCCTTGGTCTCGTCCAATATTACGAACATGTAGTATTTGTTCTGAAGTACTGGTCTGTTCGACCATAGGTTCTGATAAAATGGGAGTTTCCACAGGTTGTGTTATCACATTATCCTCTGGATTATGTATCTCTACCTCTCCTTCCATGCCTTCTTCCAAGCATTCATTTTCTCCTTGTCTCCTACATCTAGCCATTTCAATTTGTCCCACCGGGCGTGCCAAAAATATATGTTGACTTTTTTGGCTTTCAAAGGTTATTATTGTAATTGCGAGCGTGCCAGCAAGGATCAATCAGTCCTTACAGAAAATTAATTGCCAACCAATTATCAGACGATTGTATTTTAGTTCTTTTAGCCTCAATGAATAGGACTTTTACTAGTGGCTTGATTTAAGAGAATTAAGCAAAATAACAATTAAATGAAGAACAGTTGAAGTATTTCATCAAAAATGAAAAATTTACAATGATTCAAACTCAGCCTCACAGAGGTTTACAGCAACAATCTACTTGAAACTACTTCCATTAACGAAGTGCAGTGTAGGAATTTAAAGTACAGGAAATGTAAGACTAGAAATGTAAAACTGGAAATGTAAAATAAGTAGAATAAGACTGGTTTTTTGGATCTGAGTCTGGAGACTCTTTTCTGGGACCTTCTTTGCTATTTATACTACTCAAGGATGACCATCGAACTGCATTTCTAACTGTCGAACTGCTCCTCCATGATCGCTGATCATGTTGCCTCAAGATTAACTTCATTACGCCATTACTTGCAGTTAGGCTTCCCTCATAAATTTGAATTTGAAATGTGAGTAACCGTTGAAGCCACATCAACTTGCATCTCTTTGTTGATCCACTGCTATTCAGATCTCGTAATAACCAATACTATCTGTCACGTGTACGATCAGGATCGAAGATTTGAATAGTCTTCCTATATTATCCTTATTTTGCCACGCGTCGAATTGTAATTGGCTTATACAAAATATGTAGCCAACATACTCTCATCCATTATTTGATTTTGTTTAAACTTTCTTATAGAGTTTAGGGTTTCAAAATAATAAAAAACAATGATATTGATGATGATGGTGAGTTTTGGTATGGTAGATTGGAGTTTTGAAGGGAGGATGAAGAAGAAGAAGAAAAATAAATAACTTTGATCTCTTAGAAAAGAAGATACGGAGATTTGAATATGAATAATTAGTTAGGGTGTACCATGAGGAAAAAAAATTTATTTTAAAGTTTAATATGCATTATCCTTATTAGCAAATTCGTATTATGATATAATAGAAATTAAAATTTATAAATTTAAATTAGACATACTAAAACATATTTTGAATTCAAATAGAATTTCCCTAATTTAGGTCATAGGACCGGATTCGGCAAAATTTTTAAATCAATTATATTATGGGCCGTGCTTAGGAAAGAGTTCTTCAAACCCAATCCGGCTCGGTTGGCCCTCAAGCTACATTATATAATATATCTTTATAAATAATATATATATATATATATATATTTATTTTTTATATTATTTTATTTTATTTTTTATAAACTTAAATTATGTATTAATAATTATGTAATGAATTTACTAGCCTTGAATGAGTTAGAGAAGCACAAATGATTAAATTAATTATAGATTTTTATTTTAAAATATGAAAAATATTTATATTAAACAATATTCGTGTCATTTAGATGAGTTTGAGATTTTTAATTTCGTTTTTGAATGGGCTTGGGAATAAAATTTAAGCTTGATCTCGAGCAGGCCGAACTTGAAAAATAACTTTAAATATTATTATATAGTATAAACACGGTTTGAACCCATTTTTATATGAATCCACATTTCATTGAAATTAGTTAATAATTTAGGTATATTTGATTAGTGATCTCTAGCATTTCTAAACTCATTTAATTTAAAAAATGCCATCACAAGATTCACCACATGATGCATTTTCTATATGATTTTTCAGAAAAAAAAGTTCACTTTTCCTCCAAAGTAACACATCAAAACCCAACGAACAAGTTGCTTGGCATTTCTCTAAAAGTGCATTTGTGCAGAAGAATTTATTTATTTAAGTCTCTCTAGTGAAACCATTCATATCTCGTGAAGAATATTGATTTAAGTATTTAGCTAATGAAATCATTATTGCTGAAATAACTTCATATTTGAGACAAAGTTTCCAATAAAGAAGATTGCATAGCATCATCGCTGAAATAAACTCAAAAAGAGTCTGTAAATACAAAGAATATACAAATGAATCAATAAGAAGAGTAACACTGCAACAATATGTACATATTGCAGGACATGAAATGAAATGCCTTCACAAACTGCGTAAAATCGAAATGAAATTTCTGATAAATCATGACGTGAATATCAAAAGTAGAACTGCAGCAGAAGCCACGTAAACCAATGAGTATGACGATTTGAACAAACTTCGTAACCCAATATCCTGAAAAATTTCAACATTACATAGAAACATAATGATTTAATATAACAAACACGAAGCGCAAACACAAAAGTATGATATAAGTGAAATGCAATAGATGAGACCATTTTCATTATTTCTTATTCCTCAATTGATCAATCCTAACAAAGAACATGTGTTTTTCTATAACAAAAAAGAAAAGAAAAAAAAAAGAAAACAAAGATCATGTCTATCTTCTCATGTTAGTCCTACATAACTTATTCCTTCATTAGTATTTTGCACCAAAAAAAAAAAAAGTACATAAAATGAAAATTATAGATTGCCAATAAGGAAAATTAAAATTATACTAAAAGTGTAGAAATTGCATGGCCAGTGAATTTAGAGTAATACATTCCTACCAATTTTAAGTAGAAGACTAATTAGCATAAATATGTAGCGAGTTTAGTCGCACTTGTTCTCTATTTTTGTGTCTCATTCTATGATTCAATTCAGTGCAACTAGCGTAGCTAAAATATGCAAAAGAGGTATTTGGGAAAACAAATCCGTACCTTAAAGGAGAAAAGGGATGATGATGGTGCTGAAGAAGAGAGGCCATTAAACCCAATATCGTATGCAATGCTCCCATCAGGTTTAAACAGTCCAAAGTTTCTCTCCGAGGTTGGTCCGGGCTTGGAGTCCTCATTAAACAAGGCAAAAATATAAGCTCTCACCACACTCTTTGGCCTGTATGGTGTCCCCTTCCTCTTCAATAGCCGCTTTCGCAGATTACCGTTGTAAGTCCTTGCATTTTTCAACGAAGCCCCTGCTTCATTTGCATCCCCTTTAGAAGCCCAGCCAGTTTCCGACACAATAACCTCCATTTTCTGAAATCCCACCTTCTCCAGAGCAAAATAGGCTGCATCAATCTGAGCATCAAACATGTTATCATAATGTAGTTTAGTCTTTGCATCATAGATCCCAGAATTTTTTTGGAAAAGAGCATAATTGATATCAATGTGTGAAGGATCACTGATATAGGCAAGAAATGGGTATGCGTTTATGTAGAAAGGTGAACCAATCTGAGAGAAGAATTGTAGAAGCGGCCTCAAGTATGGAAGCATAGATTCCTTGAAAGTGGCTGCCGATGGAGGGTAGGAAGTGGCAAAAACGCCCTCTGAATGGGGTGATGAGACCTCAACTATCCGAGTCAGGTTTAGCACGTAAAGGGCATTATAGACATTTTTCACTGCAGGCAACAAGACCTCCCAGAGTTCTGGATCAGCATTCCCCAAGATCTCGTTTCCCACGGCGATTCCTCTGATGGAAGTTTCGGGGAGGAATGGCTCCACATTTTGTTTCACCCAATCTATGGCGCGGTCCTCACTCACACTCATGTCCTTCAAAAACTCATTCCCCAGTCCGACCACAATTTCAATGCCAGACTTGTTGAAGGCTGTAAGAACTTCATGATCAGCATCGTAAATTCTGATGTTCTTTATCTTGTTTGCTTTCAGAAGCAACGCTACGGTTCCAGGCTTTGGGAGATTGTCTGCAAGCCTGCCATAATTTACTCCATATGTTCCCGTGAATGCTAGCACTGCTCAAAACACCGAAGGACAGAGAGAAAAAGAGAAGTTAGTTCATCATCCACAGCTTCACCAACTTGAATCCCAAGAGTGGTGAAAAAAGTTTATCTAAATCTATATATAAAAATAAATAAATAAAAAAAGTTTGTTCTATAGCCATGTCATAATGAATTAAAGCAGCTCCTAATCAAGCATCAACGCTCAAAGCCACCTTTTATATAAACTAGTTCAACAATTAAATCATTCATAAAAAATCATAAGACTCCGGGTGCGTTTGGCGTTGTTTTTTTTTATGTTTATGAAAACAGAAAAATTAAAAACTGATACGGAGAAGTTGTTCGACAAACTATTTTTTAAAACTTTTTTTAAAAAGTTTTTCAAAACGCAAAAGAAAAAAGAGAATACAATAAAAAAGAGTCATGGTTCATGACAGACAAAATTTGTATTTTTTAAAACATTGTTTGTATTTGCAACGCGCAAAGAGAGAGAGAGAGAGAGAGAGAGGGGGAGATTTTGTCTAAGATTTTATCTTCATGTTTCATGACAGAAAGAACATTCTGCTAGTAACAATACTAATCAATTGAACTCAACATGAAAAGATTCATGACAGCACGACAAATAGTACGCCCACATTAACCAGCAGCATATTTAATTCATAAAGAATTCAACTTAAAAGTAAAGAAGAAAAAAGTAGATACCACTAGGAAAAGCAACGGAGAAAAGAAGAAGGAAGAACACGAACACGAAGAAAGAGGACGACCCCATTTCTTTGGAGGGAGAATCAACTGCGAAGGGCCATTCCATTTGTAGGAGTGATGACATCAACAGTGGTTATTTTTGGATGGCAATGCCTTTTCGCAGGAATGCAATAGACTGATTTAAACAATATTCCTAGCCTGAATCCAAAGATGACTCCAATTTTATTCTTGGAGGAGTTATAGGTTTGGTTCTGAAAGCTTGGGATAGATTCCTACCTTGTACTAATAGGACTCTCTCTCAAAGTATACCCTTTTCTTATTCGCTTTTCTTTCTTGTTTTTTATTCATCTGGGTACTACTGTTCTATAAGCTTCTGTTATATACCTTTCTTAGGTGGATGTGTTGAAGTTTAGAATTTAAATGGGTGGTCCATTTCTTTGATTCCAGGGTATTCTGCATGATGTGTATTGGTATATATGATAAGCACTTAAAATCTAAAATCATATAAAAAGAAAAATGCTGCACGTGTACATTAACTAGTATATATGAAAATTGCATATTTGGTTTCCAAATTCATCCAAATCAAATTACATCTTAAATTCCCTGCAGTCCAAACATTGAAAATCCCATTTTAATATACCAATTCCTTGAAAATCTTGTCTTTTCAAACAAAACTAGAAACAATGGTGACCTTGGCAATCCGTGCATATGATATAACTATTGATCATATTTAAGTACCATATGATATCTACGTTATAAAATGAAATTAGTGCCAATCATAGCTTAGTAAATAAATGTCCATCAAAGTAGATAAAATGTAGGATGCAATCTAAGCTCCTATATAGCATAAAAATAAAAATAAAAATAAAAACTAGAGCAACATTAGACACAACACTACCAAGGTTACAAGATTTACTTGCGAACATTCAAATTTAGTATTAATGAAGCTTTAATATTACAGTCATCCAAGAAATCCCAGAAAGTTGAAGAGGTAGTAAAGGAGACACATGGATGTTACAAAAGTGCTAGTGGAGATAGTGATACATTACATTTAGCAGCTAACTGGTGAGGGAGTTGGATAGTGCGCAGCGTTGGTTTGCCCAGGTTGGTTAACCTTACCATTCTCCATCACCTCCCCATCTATTTTCTTGCCTTTCTCCTCCACCTGCAGATTATATTTTCGATCATCTTCGCGCACTTCTTGTTTCTCTTCAACATCTCTTCTAAATGAAGGCAGAATTCCATTGAGTTTCTCTTGCTCTTCCCCATTGCTTGTCTGCACAGTGAAATTTTCAAGCTTGTCATGTTTCTCATCACTTGCAGCTTCATTTAGTGGTTGATCCACTTCTCCCATGACCTGTTTGTCTTCTACATTTTTTACTTCATTCTTGTTTTCCTGGGCATCATGCTCAATCTCAGCATCGTTCCCCACAACTTCCTCTGGACCAGTTTCTTGCATTTTGGTATCTTGGATACCCCCAATCTGAACCTGATTTTCCTCTCCTGCACTGTTCTCGGTGACAACATCTTGCATTTTAACTTCTTTCTTACCTTCAGTTTCCTCTGCAGTGGTTTCTGTCCCCTTGCCGTCCTTAGAACCTGATGATTTTCGGCTTCGTTTCCTTGATGGCACACTTTCAGAGGAAGGGGGTGTTGCCCTAACTTTTTCACTTATCCTTGCTGATCTTCTTGGAGTCTCACCGGTGCCCCAATCAAACTCGGATACTGCAGGATTACCAGGGTGTGATTTTAGGAACTGCTCCAACTGCTTTCTGTTGTTAATCTCTTCCCCTGTTGGAGCAATAAATACAATCTCATTCTTCCTTGGAGTACCTCCTTTCTTTGGCATGAACTGCAAAGAAACAGAGAAGAAATGTGTTACACAGAGACCATGGACAACTACAGATAAATACAATTAAAAAAACCATGAAGAAACATCAGAAATCAGGCATAAAACGAGAACTATGCGCCACAGTTCATTTCAAGTCTCGATTTAAGTATTCTCATACTTCACAGGGGAAATGGTCACATTGGAATGTTGGTTACCTCTAGATCACTTCTGCCTGAGATTTGAGGCATATAAATTTCAGCAAATATTAGCATGTTGATTTAAAATATGCTTTTTATTTCACCTTATCAATAACAATTATCACAAAAATACATATACTCACAACTATTGAAAGTATTTTCTTTTTTTATTGATTAAATGCAATGGTGTGTTACTAGTCCAACAATCTAAATAACTTAGGTAATGTAGACTGCGGTAGCAAGACAACATCTGCTAGTACTAATATCAAGAATTATTTACATGTAAATTTCAACTGTTATGCGTCACTGCAAAACCAGACAGTATATATATCCGTATGCACTTTCATCTAGGAAGCACGGATACGGATACGGATACGGAAATATAGAGATACAGATACGGAGATATGCCAAAATCTGAAAAAATAGGATATAGGTACGGCGGAGATACATTTGTAAAAAAAAATTATTTTTTCTTAATGTAATAATGTAATATCCATGAAAATAAAACTTAAAGCAAATTAATAAATAAAGAGAGGGATTCCTATTAAGCTGAGAGCATTCAAACATTCATAAAACATCCAAAACTAAAAGCAAAAACAAATGTAAATGTAAATTAAACATCATCCTTAAATGCCAACACCAAAAAGAGATCGAGAGCAGAGAGAAGAAACGTGAGAGACAATAAGGATACATCAATTTGACAAATTCTATTACTTTAACTACCATTATATTCCTCTTATCAAAGAACTAAACAAAATATTAGAAGTAATATGTGACTTCAAGTATCTGATACTTCGAAATTAAGTATCCGATCCTCCAAAATTAATAAAAAATTAATTAAGAAGTATCCGATGCATATCCGTGAGTATCCAAGGAATATTGAAGTATCCGTGCTTCATAGACTTTCTTTGACTGATGCTTTGTGTGTGTATGAATGTGCACTCATGTATGTATGTTCATTCTTCGAACTTAGATCCAAGAAGGTTGAGACAAGAAGCAAAGACAAAAATCTCAATAAAGAGTTCCTATATGACTGAAGTAATTTACCTCAACACTAGCAATCCTCTCCATTACATGTTGGAATGGAGATCTCCATTCTAATGCACAAGGTTGCAACACATCACTAAAGATCCAAATCAATGATCTATAATTGATAAGTGAATTTCAATTTTAAAATCTCCTTATAAGCGTTTTTGAGTTTAAAATAAAGATATGTTGATGTGGTTATTTCACAACCATTGATCTTGAAATGGATATCTACATTCCATTCATGTCATTAAGAGGATCCTTATCCACTACGGCAAGCAAATTAATCAAATGAGTTGACACTAATGTCCAAGGACCGAAATTTTTGATGATCAACAACAAATTTGAGCATTATTGTCTTCAGGTTGAATCGAGAAAGCAATAAATCCATCCTCTTTCTGTGAAAGTCTTAATATTTCCAAAATCATTAAGCAAATTCACAAAGCAGGCTAGTTTACAACAACAATTGTCAAATACAAATTTGATTTACTTATTTGTATTGTTGAGAGAGAGAGAGAGAGAGAGAGAACTACATAGTACTGATTAACATAGACAACAAGTTTACATAGTGGTGATTATCAATTTATGACTTATTACAACTCATGGCAAGATAACCACATCTTGAGTCATGTGCAAAGGCATGAAACATGTCAATGACATGTCCTCAAATTGTCTGGACAAAGAAAAAGTAAATAAAAAATGGGACACATCACATTGAATGTTTGACACATATCTCAGCCTGTCGGACACAACTACAGCAACTAAGTTAAACTGTTTGTGCTTCATAGTATACTTGAGAACCAACATATTTTGTGGTCCTTACACCCCAAAAAAAAAAACCATATTTCGTGGAGGGAATTCACAAGTTAACTATCAAGTCTACTGAAGTTCTCATGTGCACCCATCACCCCAACTCACACATACAAGAGAGACAAGCACCATATGTGCAGAGATTCAGGTGTTTTTTTATGCATGTTTAAGGGTACCTGACACCGTCCTTGAGTTAGTATCAGCAAATTATAACCTCAAATCCTGTATAGGTCATAATCTTCCTCATAGGAAGATAGTCCAAGACTACATCTCGTCAAAGAAGCCACGTCACTCCGAAAGTCAGAACTAGACATCTGATCCAATTTGCTAAATTACTAAAGAAAAGTCAAACTTAGACTCTCGTTAAATAACCAAAAAAATATGATAAGATAAGATCTAAATTGAGTGTATTGACCAGTAATCTGCTTTTTAACACCATTTTTTAACAGGTAATCAATTACATAGTACTTGATGGATAACAACCTAATGGTTACAAACACATTATAATATCTTAATCAATGTTCCACATGGCATGGAAAACCTATTGAACACAATCACTTTATTAGGGTTTAATTCCAGGATATGTAACCATGAGAATACTAAACAAAGTTGGAATTACACTAACCCTGGTTTTCAAGTATCCTTTCTAAAACCAAAGATAAGGCTAAAGTAATTGTATACTGACACTGCTCCAAATAATACATTAATTAATATAAGGCTTCTCAGATACTAAGGCAATAACTAAACATAGAAAGATTGCATTTTTCAACAAAACAATCAAAATGTATTTCCACATGATACCCAAAAATGTTTCCTATTTTATCTTTCCTATAATTTAACCTACAGGGCTTGATAATAAAGGAACAATGAGACACAATGTTTGGCATAAAACATATTAATGGAAATTCTTTCTAGAGAGACCGGCGGCGGGGGGAATTCACATTTCTATGGTTCAACTTTTCTTCTTTTTTTTTTTCTTTAAAAAAAAAAACTCCATTATCCCAAAGGCTAATTTTTTTTGGGTCCAAGCACCACATTATATAGTTCTTGAAAAATGCTTGAGACCCCCTTTTTTTTTTTTTAAACCCCCACAACCCCTTTGCATCTCAATGTATAGGACTCTACCATGTTTGTGTGGGGCCAGACCATCAATAGTTGAGATCCAAAAGGGCTGTGGGATCCCCAAAAAAAAGGTCTCAATCATTGTTGATAATTCTTTAAAGCTTCACTCAGGCAAAGAGAGAAAACAGAGAGCACAAGCAGTTCATAACTAACTTAAGGATGCTTAAATAACAACAATCACCTGCTGCTCAGTAAAGAATAAAACAATTCGAGAATTTCAACCAAAAACCCTAACAACCAAGAATTTTCCACAAACCCTAGATGCGAACAAACTATCAAATAATCCAAATTCTACCACAGGAACACAAGCTAGTAAGAGATAAGCAAAACCCAGATATGAAATTAGGCGATAAGCAAAACCCAATACGAAATTAGGCGCTAAGCAAAACACAGATTCGAAATTAGGCTAAGTGGTAGATTACAAACACAAGCACTAGAATATATGTGTGTGTGTGTGTGTAAAAGAAGCTCCAAAGAAGAACATGAAGCACAGAGAGAGAGAGAGAGAGAGACCAATTTCTTCCAAGCAGGAGGAGCACGGAGCTCGACAGAGACGATATCGTCGTTGGGCAAACTTTGAGTCTCATCCGCAGAACTCGCCATTTACACCTACAAATTGAAATTGAAAAAAAAATAAAAAAACCCAATAAACAGAGCCGCTTCTAGCAAAATCAAAACCCTCTCTCTCTCTCTCTCTCTCTCTGTAGAGAGCTAACACTCGACAGAGACGATATCGTCGTTGGGCAAACTTTGAGTCTCATCCGCAGAACTCGCCATTTACACCTACAAATTGAAATTGAAAAAAAAATAAAAAAACCCAATAAACAGAGCCGCTTCTAGCAAAATCAAAACCCTCTCTCTCTCTCTCTCTCTCTCTGTGTAGAGAGCTAACAAAACCCTTTTTGTTTGGTAGGAAACAGAGCCACAGACAGAGTCGCAGATTTGCTGTCTCTCTCTCTCTCTCTCTCTCTCTCTCTAAAACGAGGAAACTGCCATAGGATAACGCTACCAGTACCTTTTGCAGGAGTAGGAGTGGGGTGATATGGTCACTGACAGAGGTACAGAAGGATTGACAAACTTTGGGCCTGGGATTTGAAAACTGTCGGTTAAGAGGAATGGCGATTTGGCCGTTAAAGCAGGTTCTTGCTTCGTTATTTAACCATAGCAAATCCTACATCCTTGGGTCGGTGCCCTGCTCAGCACCGACGTCACGTGACAATATGAGATTTTTTTTTTTTTTTTTTATAATAGTAATTTGTAGTACGTTTGGTTTTAATTTTTTGAAAATCTAAATTTTTAAAAATTAATAAATATATAAAAATATGAAAAATGTATTGAATTTTTTATATTTTTATATTTTTGATATTTAATAAATTTTTTAAAGATTTTTTTTATAAATATTATACTTTTTAAATATATTTATGTTAGGTATGTTTAAAATTTTTTTTAAAAATGCTTGAAATATTAAAAAAAATTCATTGAAAATTAAAAAAATATGAAAAATAAAAAAATAAATTTTTTTAAAAAGTATTTTCTGAAAACCAAAACCAAAGAAGCTGAATATCTTTTTGAGTTTTGATAAAAACAAAAATAAAATTCAAAACCAACCAAATGACTTTACATTAGGTTTAACGTATCTAAACTCATCTCCAATGGTTACTAAAATCTTTCATCAAATTTAAATTTAATGAAAAATAATGTCTTTTTTTGCTCTAACAGTTTCATTAAATAGGTATCAAATTTAGGATTTTACTTATCTTTCATCAAACTGAGGGTCAATATGCTTTTCATCAAATCACTTTTCATAACCGTTTGATTTTCACTACTGGATGTCTCCCGAATGACCACCTCAAGACAAAAATTTGTGAAAAATTATATTGCGTGGTCGACCTGCCAGACATATGCCCTGTCGTATGCCCGGTCAACCCGAATTTTGATGAAACTTCAAAATCCTCCGTTGGAGCACATCAAATAGAATTTTTACTCAAATTTTTATTCAAATTTAATGAAAAATTTGATGCACCGTTAGAGATACTCTAAGGATAGTAAGTTAAATTATAATAAAGAGGTTGTATTCGTTTTATCAACTTAAATTATTTTAAAATGTATTTTTAAATGATAAAAAAAATTTAAATATTTTTTTTTAAATTAATTAAAAATAGAAAAATGATTTGGAGCCCTAAAAAAGCCTCCCTAATCCCCCTAATCCCCAAAACGACGTCGTTTTGGGGAACTTTTTTTTTTTGCCTTGGTTTGAAAATTTGAGGGAATTTCGGGGGACATAGCACGACCCTTAAAAATATCTTATTTTTATAAACTTTTATGCTATATTTATGTTGAGAGTTCTTATTAAATAGTCTAGAACAACCATGTGGGGGTATACATCAATGGTGTGAAATTTTTTACAAAGGATCATAGGGACTTACCCTCATTAAATAGTTGAGAGATATAAAAAAAAAAAAAAAAAAAAAAGGTAAATAACACATCAGTGAGTATTTAAAAAAAAAAATTTAATTCATGATAAATTTTGTGGATTTTAATTATTAAGGACATAAATTTTTTTTTTGTGTTAGTAATTAATTTTTAAAAGTACAACTGAATCTTATTTTTTTTTAAAAAATATCTCACTTATGGGAAATATTATGGTACATATCCTTCAAAGAGGTGACACAATTTCATACTTAACATAGCATGAGGTATAAGTAAAATAATGTTATAATTAAAGAAGAAAAATTACCATAATTAAAAAAAAAAACATAATTACAAATACATATGATATATCCTTTTTACAAGTATGTATATTAGAATTTTCCCTCACTTAATTATTAGTTAGAAGTACCATCCAGACTACACTCCGTGATAATTGGAGGTTTTTATTTTTATTTTTTTTTGTGAATATTCTAAAAAAATTAAACTATTTATGTAAATAAATAACTTTTCAAACTATTTATAAAACTAATTTACTTTTTAAAATCGTAAGTTTAAAGACAATTCAACGGTGAAATCGAATTTTAAACATGTGATTTTATATTGATATAATCTACATTTACACACTAGTAGATCATATTAATAAAAAATTGCATTTTAAATTTATATTTTTAAAAGAATAGATTAATTTAATAAATAATTTAAAAAGTGAATTATTTTGATAAATAATTTGATTTTGTATAATATTTATATAAAAAAATAAAAAATAAAAAAAGCTTGAAACAACGAGTAGCTAGGGCTGCAAACGAATCAAGCTGAGCCGAGCTTTGCTGAGCTCGAGCTCGGCTCGTTTACTTATCGAGCTTGTTTATTGAGCTCGAGCTCGGCTCGATAAGGAACTAGGCTCGATAAAGAAGTAGGCTTGTTTTTCTGAACATAAAAAAGAAGTATGAAGTCCAAACATAACACGAATTGGAAAATATCTGCTACAATTTTTTTAGTATATGTTATCTATTTTTTGGTAAATATTAAGTAATTTTTGGTAAAGCGATGAAACCAACCCCCCCCCAAAAAAAAACTCATTGGTTTTGTTTACAAAGTTACTGTGCCCCCCAAACCCAAATAACGCAATAAGTATTAATGTATTTATATATATTTATATATTATTTAATATATAAATAATATATTTATTATACAATTTAGATAAAGATAAACGAGCCGAGCCTAACGAGCCGAGCTTATGCGAACTCGAGCTCGGCTCGTTTAGTAAACGAGCCGAGCCGAGCCGAGCTGAACCCTTAACGAGTCAAGTCGAGCTTGTTCATGAACAGCTCGATTCATTTGCAGCCCTACGAGTAGCTAATAATTGTCACGGTTAGGACTGTGTATAATACCGCTAAAATCGTCAAAACCACACCAAATCTCTTCGAATTGTGCAATTTTTCAACTCTAGCAGGCGGGTTGGTGTCCCAGGTCTGGCGAGTTAGCACGGTTGACGAGTGGAATTTTGCCAACCAGCATTTCTAACCGATTCGGCTCGCCTCCTGATGCAAAAAAAATCCTCTATTACACACACACAGAGAGCAAGAAATTCCAGCCATAGATTATACGCACACACATCTATCACACATATACTCACACATACACAATAATTCCTCAATTAAACCTAATTGACACCCACATTTCATCTCATTCATTCATATCGATTCATCACCGCTATCTGTCACAAACATCTGGTCTCATTCCTTACCTCGCCAATTGGCTGTCACCATCGCTGTTAGCCTCTCCTCACCGATGCCGCCACTGCCTCATTCCCTTGCCGATCGGTGCCTACTTGTCATCGTCGACTCATCGCGTCGATATGTGGCTCTCTCTCTCTCTCTCTCTCTCGCTACTTTCTGTCTCTGCTCTCTCTTGTTGTTCTCTCTCTGCTCTTTCTCACTGCTCTCTGCTCTTTTCTCGCTCTCGCTGATCTCTCTCTCTCTCTGCTTTTTTCTTTTCTCTCGCTAATCTCTCTTTCTCTCTCTGTTCTTTACTCTTGCATTATTAGCCTCTATATACATATATATCTATATAATAAGGGAGAAGGGTTTTTCAAAAATGTATAAAATGTATGAGAGACACACTTCCTTTGAATGGCACAGATCAATTGTAATAAATATCCATGGTTGAGATTAATGATGTTCCCACCCAACACTTTTCTCCCTAAGATACAAATGATTTGTCTACCCTCTTGTATGGGGAGCAAATATCCGATACCACCCGTACTTCTCGCGTCCAAGCTGCGCCTTGCTCCGATTGACCTGCGAACACGACGAAGGTAAGCTAACCAGCGGTGAGTTGTTGAAAAACCCCTCCGACGGTCAAGCACACACTCAGAGAGAGAGAGAGAGAGAAGAGAAGACAATGTGGAAGAGTTTCTCTCACTATTCGATGTTCTGCCCAGCATGGGGGGCGCAGTCACGTTTATATACTTTCTGCGCTCACATCTATGTCCATTCGCCCATTGACGCGTGGACCTGCTCTCCTATCACGCTCTCCCACGTGTCAGCGCAAATTCAGCTAAACACCACCTAATCAAACCGCCAAATGGCGTTGGCGCGAACGGGCAGCCCGACGGCGCTAACCTAGCCTCTTATGACCGTATTACTTTACGAGACAAACAGTGCTCCTAGCCGAGCTCCATTATGACCAAGCTCAGTAGCCCTCTGTTATGACCGAGCTCAGTTGCCCTCCGTTATGACTGAGCTCCTGCTCGGCTGGGTCGGTCTGCGGAGGACCTTACTCGCCGAGAAAAACAAGCAAACAATAGAAATCGGGCTAACAAAGAATCATCTCGGCAAACGGATCTAGATTTCAACCGAGCAAACTCCCCTTAGAATGGCCCAGCCCAGCTCGGCCCAAACACGCTCGGACCACTTTCAGCCTAACCATTACCACAGCCTAAAGCCAGATTATGAAATCTCTCTCTCACTTCTCTACCGTTTGTCTCCCCACTCTTCTCTCTCAGTATCTACCCTCTGTCTAACCACCTTCACTCTCTATCTCCCTCTCCCTATCTGAGCTTTTGTATCTCATTTCTCTGCCTACCCTCTCTATCTCTCTCTTTCTTTATGTTTTTCTTCTTGAATTTTTTTTTCCTCTTTCAGCTTTTGCCTTCATCAGAGCTTACTTCGACTATGGATCACTCTGACCAGTCTCACTGTTGTTCACTCTAGCTGCGACATCACTTCGGCTACTTGGCTATTCATTACAGTAATTTTTTTATTTTTGCTTTTGTCTTTCCTCCTTTCTCTCTGTTTTGCTGATGGCTGGGTTAGTTTATTACTTTGGATCTTATTTTTTTCTTTTGTTATTGCTTTGGTAACGTTTGGTAGGCATGACTATTGAGTAAAACTGAAGAAGAAGAACAAGTTGACTACATTAAAGAGTAGTCATCAATCTAAAAATAAAAATTAAAGAGTAGTTGCAAAGGCTACATTCAAGTTGACTATGTTTTTTATCACCAAAATCTTCGTATGCTA